GAGAGAGAGAGAGAGTCGCGGGCAGGGCATTTAGTGCTTCTTCGTCGTCGACCTAATTATTTCGCCGCTGGTTTATTGAATTTTAGCGCTCGGTTACAGCGTGGAATTATACTGCGAGGTGTCGCCTGCGTTTTACACGAGTCCAGACTCCAGAAATCCTAGCCCGCAGGTAACGGCTCGGTTGTTAGCATTTTACGGGCGGAATAGCCTTAAGCGCCGTATAAACGTGTGTGAAAAATGTGTTTGCCTTCGAAGAGGAGAATAAAATTTTTACGCCAAGTGCGCGATCGGCATTCGCAAATATGGAATAAATTTTGCATTTTTCGAGAAAAATATGACAAGTTATATCCGATTATACCGGCGCTGCATTAAATCGTCAAATTTAAACAGGCTCAGAGGAGCGATAACGGCGAAGCGGCGGAATAATATAATTAAAATTGAGTGAATTATAAGTTGCAATTATAATTATCGGAATTAAAAAGATGAAGAAAAATATGGACCGTATATTGCTCCAGTTAATCGCTTCGGATTGCATGTGTTGGTGAAAAATATTTCCAGATATTAAATCGATGGGAATGCACGCGAGGCGTGCATTAGGTGGCACTTTATGAAGTAGAAGAAACTGCTATTACGCTGACATGTTAAGCAGTCACGTGCTGGGGCTCTAGTTGTTACGCGGCGGGAGACTCGCGGGAACGTAATTCGCTAAATTATTCGCGCGAATCAGATTGTATCTCGGAACATGAGATTTAACTGCATGTCGTATCGCTTCAAAAAGAGATTGTTGTACAATTTACGAAACTTTGGCGTCTCTTATCTCAAAGTAACGTCGCGGTTTCGTCGTGCAACACCGTCCGGTAATAATTGGGAATAGTTAGAACGGAAGTTAGTTAGTGGCATTAATTAGTCGGCTGACTTTAGTTGACCTTAGAGCGACAATAGACTCAAGATGAACGGCGCATGGATAATGGTAAAGTTTCGTAATTAGCAGAGCATTACGTTAGTTCTGTCCGACTGGTTAAAATATTCAATTAAATTTACCGATCACGTTTTCGATATCTTTTCCATGCAGTAAGCTGTTACATATTTGCGGGCATTAATCTGAAAGTTCCTTAAATGTTCCTATAAATCCTTTTACCTTAAGTTTCTTGAAATATTCTCCAATGCAAGTTTTCTGAATATCCATAAATCCCATCCGATAGTCACATAAAGTCATCATCGTTCATTTATCGGAAAAGTGCCGCGAATCTCTTTCTTATACCTGAAGTAATGAGGTCGAACGCTCAAGAGATCGCGTCACATAATTTCACAGAGGCGAAAATGAAATTCGAACCGATAGTCGTCGACCTATTGGCTATTTCAATCTTCAAGAGATGGAAAAGCCGCGCGTTTTCGTTTTATCTGAAATCGAACGCAATGTACAGTGACGATAATTTCAATTCGCATGAATTCACTAAGACTCATAAAATATTCTTCAGCCTCTATCTGATTTCGCATTCGTGGTATATACGCCGAGCGTATGCGGAGCACGGATACGGCACACATGGAACGGAAACGAAATTACCACGTAACCGGATTAACTGAAACAATAGTCGAAAATAACCGTTCATCCCGTTAGAGCTGCATCACAATAATCGTTTGTATTGCGTACACAGAATGCCTCGGAAAAGAGGTGTAAGCGCATTTTTCAAAAAATTAGCATCAGTAGGAAATTAATAAGTTAGAAATTTCGAAAATAAAATTTTAACTAAAAATTCAATGACAGACTCGCGGAAATTTTGCGGGATAAATGATCAAATAAGTAAAGCATTGGGTAGAAGAAATAAACGTCAAATGAATAAATAAGGAAACAAATAAAATATATCTCAAACTCGAGCCCGGCTATTCGTCTCGGTTTAATTCGTCTACTAAGAAAACAAATCCGAACGCTTGTCCCGGCGACTTACGCGCCTGACACACGAAGAGAATGAGAAAGAAATTAAAGTGAATTCAATTTCACGCAAACCGTCGCTTTGCGAATCGCGAATCTTCTCTCAGCAGTAGCGGCATGAAATTACACGGGCCGTCTAATAAATGAAATTTGTATGAAAAATTCTGAATACTCGGGGCAACTCGATACGCGATACGCAGTACAGCGGGATTAATTTATTTTACGTGCTTTTACGTTACCCGCGCAGTTTCCATCGGCTGCTATGAGTAATCGTTGCCCGCGTGTTTATTCGTTTTTCTGCGCTGGTGTTCCCGACTGTTCCGCGCTTGTCTCAATGTTTCGGAATAAATTGCTCGCGCACATCGCTTTGCTATACTACCACTGAATGCACTTTCGTAATCGTCGGCAAACTTTCCTTTGCAATCGTCCGTCAGTTTCGTTCTGAAAGCGGCAGACGTGTCGACTCGCCACGTTATCATATTCTATCGTCCGCGTTGAAAATCAAATGTCTATCGTTATTTTTATTATACGAAATGTACATTTATTGGCACGTTTCAGAAGAAACTGGGTTTCGATAAATCGATCTGTGAGATTATAATGCAGATGTAAATGTAAATACAAATATATAATGCTTAATTAAATTTTCATTCAGAGAAAATTGTATTCAGTTTTGACATGGAATATCGCCTTGTACGATGTATAATGAGAGGACATTCTGCGTGATAACATTGAAATTGTGGATTCGAATAAACAACACGAATCTCGAACGAAAACTGCAGCAAATGATTAAACCAAATGACAACGATGCGACAGTGTACTTGTTACTGTTGCGAGTGTTAAATTTGCGCGTTGCGGATCGCACGACTAATAGATTGATTATGTAATTTGTAACATTATCTTGTTTGTTTATACTATCAATCCTCATTTAACTTCATCATGGTCTCGATTAAACGTCGTAAAAGCGAAAAGCTGACTGATGAAAACTCACACACTCGCTCGTTATTGTTTGTCGCAATAGTGCGCATTAATTTCCCTCTGTTTTGTTTATATACTTTTGTCATTTATTTTTTATAAACGTACTTTGATTGTTATATAATAATGCAGCAGATTGATACATATTGTATATAAAATCCAAAATATTTTATCCCATTACATCTTAACTTATTATTACAGTAAATTTGCGATTCGTCAAAAAATATTTACATTCGACACTCTTAATTTTCTCGAAAATGCATATTTTATTGTATTCGCGTTATATCATTTATACTTCGAATCAGATGCTCTCTTCTGATAAGTATATTTTATTAAAGCAGTCGTAAGAGAACAATCGATATTCCTCGAAAGAAACTTCACACACACACACACACACATCAAGAACATTCGAAATAGTAGATTAATCAAATATACATATATTAGCAATCGAAAATTTACTGTAATAATAAATTAAGATGTGAATTAAGATAAATAATTGAAATAAAAGATAATATTGAATAGAATAATAGTATGGAATATTAAAAGTGAAAAAAAATAAAATAAAATAAAATAATGTAAAATCTACAATTACAGTACATTTTATGAAATACATTATGCAAAATAGATTTTCATTTAATTTTAGATGAAACATTTTATGAGATCTGAAATATTGCCTTTGTGTGAAGTCTTCTGCGTAATCGTACTTTAGAAAAAGCGAACGAATTCAGGGCGCATCGTCGTGAAGTAAATGCGAGAGACAATCGCTCTCGGGAATTATACGCGTGAATGGTGTGGAAGAATAGCAACGGGCGTAGAAGGTTCGGCACCATCGCATCGCGGTGCACCGGTCGTTCGTCAATTG